GCCGGGACAGAAGAAGGAGTGCTCCAAACCTTCTCGGGATCGCCGCTGCTCTTGCCTCCCAGGGCCAAGATCAGCTCGCCGAGGCACGAGATCTCCTTCTCGACCTCCTCTCGGTCTTCCGACCCAAGAGAAACCGCGGCAACGGTAAACCTGGTGCGCAGGGCCCGCACCATCCTGGCAGGGTGCCAGTCACCTCCCATTTTGCCGTATTCCTCGGCAAGGATGGTGGCCTTGGTAGTGATCTTCTCAAGATCCTCCACCGTGACCTCTGCCTGGTGCGCCTTCAAGGCCACAACCAGCCTTGAAACCCGCGTCAGGTAATCCGCGACCGGTTCCTGGTCGGGACGGTAGAGCTCCCGCAGGTCCGCCTGCAGGGTCTCCGCCGTGACGGGACCACCCGTCCCAGCAGACGAGGGAGGCCCGGAACGGGCCGGGCCGCCGGCCACCGGCGAGAGAGCAAGCGCACCAACACGGCGCGCCGTCTCGGCCACGTCCGCCGGCGCAGCGGCAGGACGCGGAGCCGGTACCCCGGCCTCCGGCAGAAGCTCTTCAGAGCTGGGGCCCGGATCGCCATCCTGAGCACCCGGGCCCGCTTCCGCAGCTGGAGCTTCCTCATCTTCCTCTTCATCTTCTTCCTCTTCCTCTTCGGCATCGAAGTTGTCGTAGAGGAATTCCATCGTCTCCTTCCACAGACGCTGTTCATCTGCTAGCGTCGTGGATCGTCCGTCCTTCTTCTTGGTGGGACGGGACCCCGTTTCCTTACGCCAACGGAGCCAGTACATAAAGGGCATCTTCTCCGGGTACTCCACTGACCCATCCTCGATGCACCTCAGCAACGTGGCTCCTTCCGGCTGACCTGCGACCTCAGCGCTCATGGTCGCCTAGCGAAGGAGAGAGCCCCGTGCCACACAGGACCACGGCCTCAAGGCGCACGACAAGCGCGCCTTCGAGGCCACGTTAAAAGATTGCGGCGCAGCAGCCGCCTGGGTGGCCGTTTCCCAGAACAGCCCCCAATTGTGGAGAACGGAAACCCAAAGGGGCAGCACGCACCCTCGTTTTCCGTCCAAGCAGAAAGTCCAACGACCGTGACAGGTCGAACGTCCGCCCAGGACGGGCTGCGCGCAATTGCGTCGCGGCAACGAGAAGCTACCAACGACACACTGCCGTGCTCACTTGAGCCAAAAATGTTATGAATACGAATTACAGAAGAGCATGCATAAAAGCATACAGCACAACAGCCAGCCCGCAGACTATGTACAGTTACAAGTAGTAGCAGTAGTAGTAGCAGTAGTCGTCGTAGTAGCAGTCGTAGTAGTTACAGCAGTAGTAGTGGTAGTCGTAGCAGCCGTAGTCGACGTCGTAGTAGTAGTAGTAGTAGTAGTAGTAGTAGTAGTAGTAGTAGTAGTAGTGGTAGTGGTAGTGGTAGTGGTAGTGGTAGTGGTAGTGGTAGTGGTAGTGGTAGTAGTCGTCTTAGTGGTCGTGGTAGTAGCAGTAGTAAGTAGTAGTGAGTAAGTAGTATTTAGCAATTGGAAATTAGTATTAGGAGCAGTAGTTGTTGCTGTCGTTGTAGCAATAGTAGCAATAGTAGTAGCAGCAATGCTGGCAGCAGTATGCTAGTAGTCGTATACTAGAATACAAGTACGGTTATCAAGTACTAGCAGCAGCAGCGGCAGCGGCAACAATCCCGTGGCACTCGTCGTCGTAGTCGCAAATTAATCGCGGATTTCGTTATGGAACTTACCATGGTGTCTAATATAGGGGCCTAAATGTCTGAATAGTAACTAGTACTATTCTGCTGTGTTCCGTATTGTAAATATAGAAAAATACACCCCGAAGCCCTATTCTAAATGCTAATGCCCCAATATTACGTCTATTCAGTGTGTTCTTTGTATCTGCTGTGGTGCCAGGATGTGGAGGCGACTGCGGGCCGCAGGTCACCGAGCTGGGAGAAGAGGCCCAGCTTTGGAATTCACCCGCAGGATGTTGGAAACTTCAGGAGTCAGGAGTTGGGGATTTTCGTGCTTTGGGCATCAGAATCATCAATCCGAAGCCACGAAAGGCAGGTTATTGGTTTCCAGAACCTGGAGACCTCAAGCATTCGGTGCTAAGTCAACGTAGCATTGTGTGGTGAAGGAAGAGGTCAGAGAACTTAGCAACTCGGTCATAATCCAGGCTTCCAGCACCTCGATTACAATACGGGTTTATGCTATGTACGCCAAGTGGGAAATTCTTGACCGACCGGGCGTGGGCTAGCTTCTTGCTACAGTGGCATTATTTGTCATGGCTGCTCTTCACACTGCCGTAGCAAATCAGTCAAGCAGTTTGAAATCGCTAGCAAACAACACCCGGAGGGCTCAGACATGCAGGCGGGGTCCCCTAACGTTCTTTTCAATACGGCCCGAATTTACAGAATTAATTGGGGAAGCTCGAGGCGGGAAGGATGCTGTAGTTGACAAGGTTCAGTCAGGTCCGCATCAACATCAAGAGACTTGCGACACTCTTGGCCAGGGAACCTTGAATCTTGAAGCCTGGAAGCCTTAGCATCACAAAACCTTAGACCCCCAAGTTCTGAAACCCCTAGCTTTGAAACAGGCCCTCAGCTGTGTTTTTTCATTGTGCTGGATTGTTGAGGAGTAGGACTAAGAACATTCGTCCTTTTGTGGAGCGTCCTTGACAGGCCGTTGGTGTCGGCGGAGATGCTATGGGACACGGCAGACCTTATGCAGTCGTTGTGCCTTGGTTCTCATGGTGAAACCACAGCTCTGTTTTGCGAGCATCTGATTCAGGGTTCGAATACTGTCAAGTTTGCTGCTCCTTAGGGCTTCCAAAATATGTATGGTGACCTGGGTATGGCGACACACCTCAGAACCCCAGTTTGAGTATGAATCCGTCCATGTTACGTCATTTAGCTGCGAAGAGTTTTGCCACGGCCCCGTAAACCCGAAACAGTAAGTTTCACGCCTCAGCTTGTTCTCTTCTTGTCCCATGGTTGCCTGCTAAATAGGTCGACCAACGGACCGAACATACATTTAATCTCAAACGGGCACCCTGTAGGTCTGAAAACCAAGGGGGCCTGAAAAGCTGGGAATGCGATATCCTTGCAATCCCTGTACAGTTATCATACAAAAATGTATTACCAAGCCCTCTGCTAATTGAAAAAGGCAATTATATCACTGGGAAGCCGCTTCAGGGTCCTACCTTGCTAGACGGGTTAGGATTGTGTGTCTTCATATTTCTTGACCGTCACATGACCTCCGTCCTGGACAGCTTTTTCTGGGGATGGAGAGGGAAGGGGTCAAGACTGTCTGATCATGGAAGCGAAAGATTGGCTTCGCGAGGTACACCATCTTCCTCTCTGACATTGTCTTCTTGCTCTGGGCCATCGCGTGGAGGCAAACTCTACGCCCCAGGCTTCGTTTCCATGAGTCGGGTTTCCGCAAAAGGCCTGTGTGAAGGAGTCTGGCCTGGAGTTCATTGCTTCAGGTTCAGGGCTTAGGACATGGGAGTTTCCGAAAATCAGGGGAGCCATATTTTGGGGCCCTTATAATAAGGATCCTACTACTTGGGGTACTATATTAGGGTCCCCCTATTTTTGGAAACACCCACATTTAGGACTAGCAGTGAGGTTGTCTGTAGCCCGAAGTGTCTGCACCTGCGGGATGCCTGACTTGAGCTCTCTGGCCAAATCACACTTGGTTTTGCCTGAGTCGCTCCATCCCCCGGATTGCCTGAGGTTGGAAGCAGATACCCCCCAACTTCGAGCCACCTCCGCAACGGACTTGCAATGTATTGAGAGACAAGCCGACAAGCGAAAACAAACTTCAACTTTGCCCTATGCCCTAAACCTCCAGCGGTGGCTTCGGTCCTTCGAAGTGTTGCGAGGGGCTTTCTGCACACCAAGAGGCCCCTTGCCCCTTCAGTGAAAGGCCTCATATAGGGCCGAAACAAAAACCCATATTACTCCTGAAAGGTTCCTCATGATAGTATCCACGGTATGCCCCACAACCCTATTCTAGTTATCAAATCTCCCGGAGCGTTCAAGTTGTTCGGGTCTTAATGCCTAGGGTATGACTCCTGAAACTCTCATGCTGCTTCTTCCTTTTGAATCCTCTTGCGGTGTTCACAGACTCTAGAGCCTACAACCAATGCCTAAATGTGGTTCGTATAGTGATAATGTTAACCCTACTTTGCACACCCAAAGTCCGGCCACCCTGAACTGGACGGATTTCTTCCAAGAGAGGTTGGCGTACCCGGCGGTGGCGATCCTGCGAAGGTTCGTCGCCTTGTTCTGCTTTCTCCTCGGGAGCAGTGAGGCACCGCGGGGAGTGTTGGATGGTTGACGCACCAACGTCACCTCGTGCTGATGCTGCTGATGCTACTACTACTACTGCTACTACTACTACTGCTACTACTACTACTACTACTACTACTACTACTACTACTACGACTACCACTACCACAACTTCCGCTAGCACTACCACTGCTACGCCTACTCCTCCTCCTACTCTTATTCCTATGATTTATTGTTATTGATGTCACTGTTACTACTGCTGCTGCTGCTGCTACTACTACTACCACCACTACTACTACCACAACCACAACCGCAGTCACTGCCGCTACCAGCGCTGCTGCTACTCCTGCTCTTGCTCCTACTCCTGCTCCGACTCCTACTGCTCCTGCTGCTGCTGCTGCTGCTGGCACTGCCACTGCTGTTGTGACAGTCTTGAGATACACTGCTGAGAATGTCTCCTCAGCGCCACTTGAAGACGTCTACTATACCGGAGATGCGTAGCAGGCCAGACCCGTAGCCCTGCATCGTCCCGGCAACCCAGAGAGCCCAATACCCAGTGCGCAAGCTGTGTACACTCAGTCGGAGTAAGGAGGTCTTCAGAATTTCAGGAATGGTCCTCGTTGCAATGGTAGAGTAGAACAAGGAATGTTGCTTAGTTAAGGAGCACGGGGCCGGATATTGTGGTTTACAAAAATCTTAGCAGGGTCGGATGGCAGAGCTACGGCGGTGTCTGGGCGTTCAGGATGGGTGTTTAGTCCGCGTGGGACTTGGTGAGGAGGCTTATAATCAGGGTTGTAGATAGTACCCTTGGTTTGTCCTTGTTCGAAGTTTACCTTTAGCTAATTACTCGCTACGTACCCTGATCGTCTAAGTTGTGTTGAGCCCTGTTTGCTCCACAACATGAGCTAGGTGGCAAAGCCGGGCAACTGCTGATTGCCCTTCGAGTCGTTTAGAGGTACCTCTTCTTAGTGTGGGCCTTAAGAAACCCAGTTAAAGCTTCAAACCCCGAACGTTCAAGAGGAGGATCTTCGGCACTTCCTTGCGGATGCCGCCCACCAGACAGTGGCTGCGATTCAGGCCAGGACTCAAGACTTTCGCGCTTGAGGTTGCCAGACTGGCAATCTGCTTTGATATCCCGAATCACCCAAACAAAAAGCGTCCTAAACCCTAAATCCTTGTTTTGCTTTCTTGGCTGTGAAACAGGCCAGGCTGGAGGTTTCTTGTGGCCGTGGGTCTGTGAATGAAGGCAGGTGGGTCGCATTTCAATGCTTTCTTTGCCCTAAATGCCGACATAAGAGTCGGAATGTTATAGTATGCCCTCAACTAGATTAGCATATACCCCAAAACCCCATTTACTGACTTGAAGCCGCAATGCAATGACCGAACCTCTAGCCTTGGTGCTGCCATGTCCGCTTTTTTGTCCATACTTACGATCACCCACTTCAGTGTTTTGAGGCAGCTCACCATAGGTGTAGTTCTCTAAATTGGCGTCCCTCTTGGGGTACTTTTTTCAAGGCTGCCATACTATAATGGGGACCTAGAAGAGGACCCTAATTTAGATAGCTACCCATAGGGCTGCAGGTTAAGCGGGCCTAGAGTTTAGGTTGTGCTCCGCAGGGCTTCAGGGTTGAGCATTTAGGGTTCCAGACCTTGGGATTGAGGTTTGGGGTGGGCTCAGGTTCGCGGATGATGCGTTAATTAACGTAGTCCGAGTCCTAATTGGCTTTAAATTTGGGTCCGAAATTTGCAAAAAAATGGGTTAAACCCTCAAACCCGAACGGAATCCACAAAGCCTTCGTTTGCTAAGTCCTTTGACGCTCCGACTACGCAAACCTTACACTGTCGAAGGCTTTGCACCAATCGATTGTCGTCCTATTGGGGCCTTAGTAGTTGGAGCAGGGATCCTGCAATAGAGGGGTCTATAAGGGTCGCGTTCAGGCGCCTAAGAGTTTGGAAACAATTTTCGTGTGTAGCACACTGTAACTGTACACGTGCCTGCAAGGGAATATACTTTCTAGTTCTCCCGAGCCGTGCGTACAGGATCCCAACTCCGCTAGCCGTCCAGCTGAGGGAGGGTGGAGTTTGTTATTTGTCGCGCAAAGCAGCTACCTTTTGAAGGGGCTGGGGAAAAGAAACAAAAGTGGTAGTGACGGTGTTGTTGCTGCTGCCGGTTCTGTTATTATTGTTATTGCTCTTATTGTTGTTTTTCTTCGTGTCATTATTATCATTATTGTTATTATTATTCTTATTATTCTTCTTATTGTTATTGTTCTTGTGTTCATTCTTGTTCGTATTCTTGCTGCCGTTGCTGATGTTGTTGTTGCTGTTGTTGTTGTTGATGGTGGTGGTTGTGCTGCTGCTGCTGCTGCTGCTGCTGCTGCTGCTGCTGCTGCTGTTGTGGTTGCCGTTGTCGTTGTGCTATTCGTTGTTGTTGTTGTTGCTGCTGCTGCTGCTGTTGTTCTCTAGAACAACTGCTCAGCTACGCATTCCAAGTATAACGGATGTGGCTCTGCAGTAAAGCTTGTTCTCTTCAAAGAAGTTGACTAGAAGCCGAGGGAGCTGGGCTTTTGGCTCGTAGCCTTGAAGGTTTTCGGCGTGTACGCTGATCGGAAGCTCATCCCGCTGACGAACTGGGCTGTTGACTGGATCGAGGAAAGCTTCCCACGCCAGGTGGTGCTTTCTTGTCGCGGTTTACACCTTGTGATTCTCGATGTTGGACCACTGCTCCGTAATTCGGAAAAGTGAGAGCTGGTAGGAAGAACTAGACCTGCTGTCCTTCTGAGCTGTTTCTTGTCGCAGGTGGGCGTCGTGCGGCGGACGCCGGCGGATCTCCTGGTGCTTTGCCTTTGCTATGGGTTGAGGAAGGAGCTTAGAGTCCTATGGCTTACAGTCCTCCGAGCGAAGATGTTCGGGCTGGATCGGCATTGCCGGACAATGCTACCTGTCAGTTGATGTCAAACCCACGGTCCTCGCTGCAACCGCACCCCAAACCTTCCGATGCAGCATTTCATATTGGCATACTTCAATGATCAGGGGGCTGAGTAGTGTATCATCGGATTGGTAAGTCGTTGAGCAAAGGAGGTTAGTAGCCCAAAAGCGCCCCTGCTCTGTTACAGCCAAAGGTGTTCCTCCTGTACCTGGCCTTCCTGATCTGGGGTGTCGTGCAGCTGGCAATCACCATGTGGGATGCTGCGCGCCAGCTTCTGGGCGGTTCCAGCGGACCCGTATCGTAGTTCTTGCAATGCCCACCCGAAACCGGCGTCTGAGGCAATTTACGGGGCTAGGTTCCCGAGTGGTGCCCTTTAGCCCCTTTTAGTTTAGGGCCCCCTTACTAGGTCCAAATAGTAGGAAAAAGGGTACCCTTATTACAAAGGGACGGAACCTAGGGGGGCTCTTTGGGTTCGATCGATGCTTGCCCAGTGGCGTTTGCTTTGGCTTGGCAGCTTCGCCAGGAACAACTATAGCGACTGCATATCTTAAACCCACACCCACATCAATTGAAAAGTCTTGCAAGGGTTTAAACGGAGACCAAATTTCTACCCTAAACCCGCAAACTTAACCCTACTCCGAGTCCCGTTTTCGAAGCCAGGTTCTCGCAGAGCCCAAGAGTTTCAGCAATAGCTGCATTCTTGATGCAGACGGGGTTTATGGGGTGGAGACTGCTTCTTTTGCGCCTTAATATTCCGATCACTGTAAACCCCATATTCAGGGAGGGATGTACATTTTCGCTCGGGCCGCACGGTGTTTGAGGGGGCTCTAGAACTTCAGGGATGAGGGGTTTGCCTGGGTCCTGACCCATTACTCTCGACCTGGACGTGTATGGCGTGGGTTTTGCTGGGAGCGCTCCTTGAGAATGCCGGCGAGTGTACACATTGATGGCCGATATATATATATATATATATATATATATATATATATGAGCAAAAGGAATACTACGGCCGATAGACAACATCACGAATCCCCAATGTTCACTTTACAAACCATCCTGAACAGAGTTAACGATGCGAACTTACCCGTGTGTCGAAACCCTCAACTTGGTTCCTACTCGGAACCCCATCAGCCAGGAACGACTCCAAACCATATAAGATGTCAATCAGAATGTTTTGGTGAGTCTATGGAGGACTCCCTAATTTGAATTACTCCCTACCCTCGTCCGATGAGAATACAGTTGGGGCGTCCTTCCCTTATGCGAGAAATGCGAGGGCTTTCGATCTTTAGCACCAAACTTCGAAATCCCGGGTAGACAGAAAACAAACGGCCCCTTCAAGAACCGAAACCGTTTTACACCTACACCAATTGTAGGGTGTAGTCCCTGCGACCCCAAGGGCAAAATCGCGAACCTCAGGTTTGGGCGCAGCCTTCTAGCTTGCTGCCCGTCTCGTAGCATCAGAACGAAGCCACCGCTGCTCTACCGTCAGGCCGAGCTTTTAAGAGTCCCACCACAACCCTTCGCACGAATATGGTAATGGGTTCAAGACACAGGGAAGGAAGTTACTGAGCCCGGCGATGCTGTGACCAAGCAGTTGACTTCAATGTGAGTTCGGGGAGTGGTTGTTGGGATGCCATGTTCTGCCGCCGGGTTACTCTTGGAGTTCAGATTCCTGGGTTTGGGACATGCCCAAGTACTGACGAGAGGGAGCATTGTACAGACCTCTCCTTGCAATCCCCACAACCTTCGTCCGCTTATACGATTCGTGTTCAAGGTTTTAGGCCTAAGCCCTCACGGCTGCTAAGGGTTGCCGCTGTCCTTTTTATTGCCAGGGCTCTCGTTGGGCTGCGTAGCCAGACTCAAAGCTGCACCCTGTCGAAATCTCAAGCTTAGGCCAATACCCAGCCCCCCTAGACGCTGAACCGCATAGCCCCATACTCCAGAGGACACAGAAGCCAGGGAGCCGGAAACTGCAAAACAGCCGATAGCACCACCAAACCGTTGGATGTCTTCTGCCTCCTGTAGCGGATGAAGTACCTCGGAACTCAGCAGGGTGTATGAGCTGACCGAAGGTTACCATAATAAGCAGGACTTATCTCACATAGCAAGCTCTCCGTGGCATGGTACCTCTAAGTAATTCAGCAAACAAAGTCCTGGAAAGCTGAGTTCCTAAAAACCTACAACCTGGAATATTAACACATCCTACTAAGGATCAGGAGAAGGAATTTTGATTCCAATATCAAGTTCCTGAAAGGCAAGGGGCTCATGTGTCATGGGTCTACATCACTAACCTTACATGTCATGTAAACTTCTCGTCTTCCATTACTGCAAAATCCTATTCTAACGATCCAGACACCTATTTCCGGCTTGATGCCGACAAAACAAGGCTTCGAGGAGGAAAAAGCCGTGTCCCCTAATTAGGGGGCTCCCTTTTGAAATTCATTGAGCGTTCCTTCCTCTACCCGGACCCAGAGGAAGTTCCGTACGTCCAGCCTCCGTGGCTGGATCCTTCGGCTGTCCAAAGGCCTGCCGAACGCGAGGCTCGGACGGTTGCGGGGGTTGCTTAGGGCTCTGTACAGGTTTACGGGTTTTATAGGGTTTAGGACTTTTCGCGGGTTTTGTGGCTTCATAGTTTAGGCTTGCTCCGAGATGAAGGGCTTAGTCCGCACTTGAGGCTTTTCGGGTGATTGAAGTTTTGGTTGGGATTTGGAGCGATTTTCGGTGGTTCAGGCTTCGGCGAGGGGCAGGGGGAGATGGGCTTGAACCTGAAAACCATTCGGAAAGGAAATTTTGGGGGAGATTAGAAGTGGGATAGCTTCAATCTCTATTCTCAGTACTGTATAGGTACTCAAGGAATAGTGCTAGTAAGTATTCAGACTTCTACAGAAAAGGTTGAGTGAATTCCTCGAATCCTCGTATGCCCATGCCAGTCCTTGAATTTATCCCGATGACAGCTTCCAGACCCCCGAATTCCAAACCCCGCAACAGACCGACAGAGGTTCCCAGAGAGCTCAACGGCCTTCATGAAGAAATACATCGTAAACTCAAAGGGACTTAAATATTTTTGAAATACGATGATTTACAATAGGTTCGTTCAATGAGACGTAGCTTGCTTTTTGGGGAGCTTCTGTCAGAGGCCATTGGAGATGATGGCGCAAAACTGCAGCGTCCGAGACCAAAAGATGACTTGATGCTTTGCTGCCTCTTTCCAAACCTCTTCGGCTGAAGACCACTCCTCCAAGGGGCTGCACTTCCGAGTAAAACTAAAGATGAAGGCGGGGTCTTTCTCTTAGATCCTAGTCCCCCATGATAAAAATGTATGATGGGCATGTCCGTGATGATGAACTGGCCTTCCCATGTTCACACTGTGTTATTAAGCCAGCCAGCCTCTCTCTCTCTCTCTCTCTCTCTCGCGCTCTCTCCCTCTCGTCTCCCTCTCCCCCTCCCTCTCCCCCTCCCTCTTCCTCTCTCTCCCTCTCTCCATCTCTCTCTCTCTCTCTCTCTCTCTCTCTCTCTCTCTGTCTCTGTCTCTTTCTCTTTTTCTGTTGCGAAATGACGGTAGCGTCATTTTTTGTTCTTGCCAGTGTTGTTTGCCAATGTCAGTTGTCGAGATATTGTTCTGGCCAATACGTAGGCATGTCTGCAGTTGGGGTGTCAGTGATGATGACGATGATGATGATGATGATGATGCTCGTTACTATGCACCCATAGTCTGACGGATCATGTTGCTGTTGCTGCTACTGCTGCTGCTATTGGTTCTAATCGTCTCAACAGTCGGCGAACTAGCCTTATCCAAGCTATTCTGCTGCTACCCATATGGGAGTTTCGCAGACAGGGACCCACATGTATGCTATTACTACAAGGGTCATCATACAAATGAGTGCTACATGCGCTAAATGCCAAAGGCTACGACATGCAGCCGAAACAACGAAAAGCCTGAAACCCTATAGAGCCCTGATCGGAACCTTTTGGTGACCCCCCTTCTAGTATTAATCTAACCCTTATACCTAAGCCTTATTAAGCCCTAAACCCTAAATCCTAAGACGAGGCAGAAAAGTGCAACCTCGGGGGTCCGTAGATCAGAGAGCACAGACCCAAAGGTGGCAGCTTCTCAAGGATGTTTCAAACATTCGAAAAACGCCAAGCATCAGAATCCTTTTTTCCAGAGTTTAGGCTGTAGGGTTTTAGTGCAAAGGGTTTCAGTGTTCATGGCATATTGCGTGTGATGTGTTGGGTTTAATAGTTTGAGGGCTTGCCGAGGGTTGCGGGTTTCGCAGATTCAGGGATACCGCTGGATGACCGAGTGTTTAGCTGACAGCGGTCTCTAGACAAAGGCGCGAGACAAGTCCTCGCTGCTTGTACAATGTTTACCACAGGTTAGAAGCCTTAGACCCCACGCCCAGACTGGTTCCTTGAGACGCTTCCGATGCTTCGGGCATGACATCACACTGGGCAGACCTTCCACCGAAGGCAGTGGCTCGCCAGATAATCCGGAGCATCATACATCAGCTACCCAAGTAACATGAAGGGTCATTAATCAGCTTGGGTGCAGGCTCAGATCTGCGGTGCACAGAGGGGGGGAAGACACCGAAACGAAGCTCCAACTGCTGCTTCTGCGGCGTGTTTGAGTAACTTTCGAAAACAGCTTGGCTTTGACATCAGCCGCCATGTGGCATTTCGGTTCACAGCGGTTCACAGCAGGGGAAGGCTCGGAGAAAGGGGTTGTCTGCAGACCACCGTTCAGCAAAAGACAAACCGGCCAAGGTCGTGGTTTCAGGTCGTCCGGTGACGCTTCCCCGAAGACGAAGCCATGCAATGTAGGAGGGCTCAGGAGACATTCACAATCTTGGCAGGTCAAACCGTTCTCTTGGCGAAATAATGAGACAAATTGTGTTGTATTAACAGCCACACTGCTTCTGCTGGGTTTTTTCGTAATTTGTGTTTCTTACCTATTCATGTGGGCTTGCAGCGGCGGCGGAAGGTCATGCAATCCCAGCAGGTTCTGTGTTCTTGCTAAGGAGCTTTATTCAAGACACCGTCTTGTAGGCTTTGTGGGCTCTTCAAAGTGATATCTACAGGGATTTATAAGATTCCTGTTTTGCGATAGTCTTTGAGTCTTAAGGAACGGAATTCAAGCTACCGTAATGAATTACGTATACTAAGCAGTGGGCTTTCCTCACTTTCGCAGCTCACACTGAAGGCTCCTTGACAAGAACACAGGTTTGGTCCAGGGGCGGGGCGCCTGAGGCGGTCCCGCAGAGATGAACTGGCAACTTGCGGCTTAGCGTCTACGGCCGAGGGCTACAGTTTTCAGGGTTTGTCTGATCGCGAAGAAGGGCTCACAGAGCACCAGGCTTTCGCAGCAAGCGCTTTCCTCCGGATTCTACGTAATGAAAGTCCTTAACCAATAAGTAGTCGCTGTGCAGTGACTGCCGCGACCATGACTATAGCAGACGATGACTTTGAAGCGCATTGTCAATAGCTTCGAAACGCTTTTCGACTCACAGAACGAAATGCAAGAGCTGGGTTGCGATTTGGGATATCTTTAATCTTCCTTATCTGTCCTTTTATCCATCATGCGGGTTTATACAGACACACACGCAAATATATATATATATATAGATAGATAGATAGATGCGCATATGTTTATGTATGCTGTTTGTGCTTGGGCAGTGTGAGCACTGAGCTCACTGCAAGCGCAGCTTCGAGGTTGCAGCTTACTTCTTTTCCTCATTGATCAATGGCTAGCCCTTCATGCCCGACTGTTGTCCAAGTTTCATCCTGTTTTGGAGGGAGACTTACGCATCAACGATTTAAGGTTTTGCGTGCCGTTGCAAGGCCGTGCCAGTTCTTCTGACTTGCAGCGCTTTTGCAAAGCAGCAAAAAGAGCGGAACGCACCACATGTCCGATGCTGTCGATTTCATCTGTTGTGGGGCGTAAACGCAACCGCGAACACAGTAATTTGGCAACTACTAACTTAGTACTGGTCTAGCTTCTGACGTATCGGAGCCTCGGCTGAAATCGTTGATGTGGTTGTGTGTTGAATAAAGCTGCCTTCAGAACCGCACTTGTTTTGAATTGAAGATGTCTTTGAGAGAAAAGTAAGGGAAACAGCAGGAAGGCTTCCAAAAAGTTGTTGCTTCCTGCGCTTCTCAAGATGAAGCGACCTTCGAAGTGGTGTTTGCAGGCAACTGACAGATGGGATGGAGCCCTGAATCTTTTCTCAGAACGCTCGAAGCAGTACTCCGAGGTGCACAGTGACGACGAAGTGTGCGGTAGCCGATTTCCACAAAGCAGCAAAGGCCCGCTCAACACAGCATTGGGTTTGCAAGCAGTCTTGCATGACCTTGGACTGTAACACACCTGGTTGTGCGTGGTTCCGGTTTTACAGCGCAAGCACCGGTTGACTCTTCGCAAGCAGGACGCATCAGTGCCAGTTTTCTGCCAGCAGAGTCGCCCCTTTCAGAACTGCTTCGTCTGGAAAGTTGGCTACATAGCCGAAGAAGAAACGACCTCCTCAGATCTTTCGGCAAGTAATAAGTAGGGCGCTTGTGGCCTTAGACGTGTGGTGTGCAGGGAACTCTTTTTGCTTCGGCAATCCACCCACAAAAGATGTCTTGACGACAATGAAAAGCCCGCGGGAACTAGGCCAGAAAGGCACTAGATTTGGATGAAGTTGTACAGCCTTCTCTGCCTGCAATCAGAACAGCCCTGTTTCAGGCTTGGTTTGCTCAGGGCGAAGACACCAAAGCACGCGATGCCTGCGCTGGCCACAGACAAACCGGATTCGGGGCTTGGGCACGTTTGTTGCAGTCTGCAGCTGTAGAAAAAGCATGGAGACCACCTAAAGATGTACTAGAAAGAGAGGTTAGACACATGACGTTATGACGTTTTGTGATGAGCCACTGCATGATGTTGCCGGACTGTTCTAGCAAATGTTAACCATAAACCCATCAGCCTCTGTCCACCTCGCCCATGGCATGAGGTGAAAAAGCTTTGAAGCTTGCAGACGAGCCACATCCTCAGAGAGCCTACGACACAGAGTCCCACCAGGGATATACCCAGAACCCATGACCAGGAAGTCTGCTCCCTGCGACAAATTCAGACAGCTCACCCAATCAGACGACGACCGCAACCAGGGGGCTGAGCGGGAGAGGGGAAACATGCAACCCAGCCATAACCGCAAGGTGCAGGCACCAGGAACTCAGCAACTACGTGGTTGACCCGATTCAGAGTGCTGCTTGCTTGTGTCTTTCTTGTCGGTATTGCCTTGCCGGACTGCTGGTGTTAAGCAGGTTCTGTTCGTCGAAATTTTGACCATCCATGCGCCGTGCTAGCGCTCAACTCCGAGCAAGGACCCTTGCTATTCTCAAAGCCCTGAACCTTCACCTAGTACGTGTCGGGCGCAAGAGCAGGTCGAGAAGTGGAGCACGAGCCGAAACTTTCTCCAGCCCCAAAGCCAAGAACCTACGAACTGGCACGAAGCCCTGGCTCAGCCGAAGGCTTCGCCCATTGCCGGCGGAGATGGGAGATGCTCTGCACCTCCTGGGGGCCGGCAATGCTGGGGCTACTAGGGTTGCTTAAGACTTACGAGGCTGAGAAGGATTACTTCTAAGGGTGTTGCAGCGTTCACTTAAGGGCTTTCGTGGGTGCGGCTTTGAGGAACGGGTGTCGGGGCTCTTGGGGGCTGAGGGCTATAAGACTTTGTTAATAGTTGCATGAGGGGTTGGAGCTTAGGAATTGGTGAGACATCTATCTGCCCAGTTTACAGCGTGCGGCGGTGATTCTCCCAAGCTCCTTCGCAAGCCTTCTCTGGACGTTTGGGCAAGTTATGGCATCGCAACATGATAGCGCGAAATGCCTAACCACCGAAAGTACTGCGCAGCACGAAGCAAAAGATATTACGAAGCTTGCCTCAACATATTCAAGCTCTTCTGCATGTGGCAGGGAGTTCCCTCAAAGTCTTAAAGGTTGCCACTGGGATTTGCTCAAGGGTTGCTATAAGACTTCCGCTTGGCATTGGCGATCCGTGGTTCGCAGCCAGGCTTGCCACCTCCGGTTGAAGGCATATGCACTGGCCATCAAGTGCCTTCGCCTCGATCTCGCCCTTGAGTGGCTCACAGGATACTGTCAGTAATCATAGTCCCCCTTATGGTTCTTACAAAGCCATAGTATGATGTACCCGAAAGCCCTATTCTGACTATCAAGGCTCCTATAGTACAAAG